CCCCTTTTGCTGCTTTGTTGCAGAACTAACCTCGGATGCCTACCAACGGTTATATACCGCGTAGTGCCAACCACAGGGCCTCAAAAGGGATAGCGAAAAGAAAAAGTTTTATCTCCTGAATCCGACCTCAGCCATCTAGAAAAAGTTTTATCATCCTGAATGTCCCATCTGGACCTAACCTTATCTCACCATTCAAACCGTCGCAAGGAGTCCGAATATGTCCGTTCCATTCCAGGGTTTACGCGACAACTACTTGCGCAAGACTTTAACTTTCAAATAGGGAACGCATCCCAAAAATCCATATATCACATATTCTCATATTTTCATTACTCAGTGCTCGAAAACCCAATACCCTCTCAATTAGGTTTCCCGTTGAGTTAAATGTTTTAAGACAAGGTTAGTCCAACTTACAAGACAATAACATCCACATAAGCATGCATCCTTAAGATGAGAAAGATAAATAGCATAACATAACACATACAATATCATGCCAAGATATGATCATAACCTATTAAACATTTTCATGAATACAAGGGCATAAAGCATCCATACATAACAAAATTTCCAGATTTAATATCACATAAAGATTAAAATGAAAGGACTATTTTAGATCTTCCACCGAACTCGGTATTCCTATAGTTCGTAGAGAATTTGATCTAGTTTCTAGAACATTTTTCGGAAATGGGATTGCTTTTCTAGATTTTAAGTTATTTAGAAAATATTCCAGTGCTGTCCAGAATCTGTCCAGATCTGTTGACCGTTACGAAAATTTGATTTGCTTGAAAACCGCTTAATGTTTTTTGATGAAACCAATTTTAGTTGAAAGATAACATCTTAAGGAAGGTTTTGATATAAAATAGAGGTCCAGAATAATTTTGTACATTTTTCTAGAATTTTTGGAAGTGGGCTGAAAAAATAGATTCTAAGGTGCTTTGCCCAAAACAAGAAGATTTATGAAAAGGGGGTTCCACCAAGGGAAAGTTTCATTTCTTTTGTGAAGAAAATATGCTAACTATCACATGTTTAACTCAGAAAATTTGTTTTAAAAAGTGCTCTTGAAAAGTTGAGAGATTGGTACAAAAAAAAGATGGTTTTGTGCCAAAATGGGGAAAATACAAGAGAGATGGAATCAATGCTCAACTTTTAGCATTTTTAACACAAGTAACTCATCAATAACAAATCTGAAAACATTATTTAGAACCCTTAGAAACATGTATTTGAAAAAGGAAAATGAAAGAGAAGGTTGTGTTGTGGCTTACCTACAAAGCTTTGCACAAGAAGCTCTCTTCTTCCTCCTTCTCCTCTAGACTTCTCTTTCTTGCTCTCCTCCCTCTCTCTAACCTAATGTGTGTATGTAGGTGTGGTGTTTGTGCTATGCCAAGCTAGGGGAGGTTGATATTTATAGACAATTCGTGATGTAAAATGTCCTAAAAGCCCACTAGTTGAAAATGGATGGAAAGTTTAGGATTTGTTTAAAGGAAAAGGGATGGTTTGGGAGGCTAACTCAAGGATTTGGCAAGATTTAGTTAAAATGGAACTAGTTTAGGAATTAGCATCCTAAGTCTAGGGTACTAGGTGGTGTTTCTTTCTAGAATTTCATGATGATATATCTTGAAAGTTGTCTCTTCACGTTTCCCTATGGTGGCTGGCCCTTGGGAAGGGTGATGGGGTTATTATTTTAATCATTTTAGGTATTAGGGGCACAATTCTCGATGTATGCATATATATAGATTTCAATTGATTGATGGTACTAATAGTATTAGGGTACATGTACTATTTTTGGGGTAATTCTTGAAATTAATCAAAGAAATGAGGGCTTGGAATTAAACTCATGTATTGGAACCTTATTTATGTATTTACTTATGATCTAGTTAGGTTTAGGGCTAATTTAAATACTCATAGCAAATCTTTATTGCTACCAAAGTCATTACTGCTCCAAGATTCAAGGGATTTGTTTGTACTAAAGTATAATGATGACGGCTAGTCAAGTCCTCGAGATTTGGGGAGATTTGCCTATTTATTTTGTGTACAAATCTTGGAAATTGTAAAACATAATGTTAAAAAAAGATTTTAGGATACAAGTGTATATATAAATATATATAATTGTACTTGTTTGAGGTCAATTTGTGATTTAATAAAATGTGAGGGCTTGGGCTCAATTAAAATATCTATTTCAAGTGAAGAGTTAATAAATTAGTGTTTAGAAAAAATAATTCGGTTTGTATTATCTTGCTTTGAATTTAATGGTAAATAACTGAATGAAGACTGTAAAAACCGAAAGTTAGGGTTTAGAGCAATTAATCTAAAATTTGAGAGTTAAATAATTAATATTAAAGTGTTATAAATGATTTCTAAGCTTCCAGGGTCGATTAGGGTTTGTATGGGTTCGTCTGTGATATGTTTTCGGTTCTAAGGTTTAATTTGCGAGCAATCAATGAATTAAAGGCTTTATTATAGTAACTCAAAATTTTGGGACCTAATAAGATTTACAAAAGTTAGGGGTCTCACAGCAACGGATAATATCTATTAAGAGATTAGACCAAAATCAAATGCAAAATAATTTATTCAAAAGGGAATAGATCACTCACACTAATCCCTTAATTACTTTGAGAATAATAAATTGACTACTTTAACCTTGATTTTAATCCAATTTCTAAAGAGATATTATCAATTGGATTGAATTGAAGTGTCGTGAAAAATTAAAAGGGTAATCAAGGCTTTTAGGCCTTGTTTGATTAACAGTATTAATAGGAAAGGATTAATAATTTTATGAATTGGTATATGATTAGTTATCTAATTAAATTAGTGAGATAACTATTTATTATGTATTCATTATTTTATTTATTTTTTTCTTTCATACTTGAAATTATGGTCCCCAGCTCCTCTCAATATTAAACATTTGCCAATTTCTTCAAATTAAATGGCTGCCGTACATGTAATCAATCAATAAAAATTGTAATCAAATATAGAATTGTGAGTTCATGGATTAACAATCTCAATCCTATGCTATAATTCCACTAATCAAACAAGCCCTTAGTATAGTGGTTGTGTAGCACCACTTTGTGGTGTGAGGAGTTTATAATAATCTTTGTGATGTTTATTTTTTCCCTAATATGGAGGTGGTATATACAGTTTTTATGCCTTTCCTAATTTGAGCTAGAGGTAATTGTTGGGTTTGGTGACTATTGGACTTTCTAGCTATTGTTGAATTTTAATTGTTCAATTTGATGAAATGTTTCTCATATTATAAAGTACTTCCCTCCTGATTAACAAAAATAAAAAAAAATAAAAATTGTTAAAAAGGTAAAATAGATGCAATTAAGACTATAAGGACTAATTAACACAAGATGCAAATTACAAGGGTTACGGATATAACTTGACTGAATTCAGGCATCACAAAAAAATTAAAGAGCAAAATTGGATACAATTAAAACTAAGAGGATTAAATTAACCCAACCGACAACTTACAAGAATCATAAGTATAATTTACCCTTATAAAAACAACTGTCACAATAATTTTATTATACTTTTTTGTATAAATTTTATGTTAGAATAGAACTTTCAAATTGGTATTTATGTCTTCTCCACAGGTTAATGTTATGGGAATTAAGGTTTATGAAACATGTTGCAGCCCAATATAAGCAATAATCCTAATGCTGGTAGCTGGATAATGAATCCAAACAGAAAAATGGTTCCAAGCACTACAACAAAAAACAGAAATGGCGACCAAAACATGAAATTTCGTCGCTGAAAGTGCATGAAATCGCGACTAAATTGGAATTTGTCGCCGAAAAGCAAGTTTTTAGCGACTAAAAGGGTTTAGTCGCCGAACAGCATGTTTTTAGCGACTAAAAGGAAGTTTTGTCGCCTAATATACGGTTTTCAGCGACTAAAGTTTGTTTAGTAGCCAAAAGTCACGGTTTTTAGCGACTAAAATAATTTAGTAGCGAAAAGGTATGGTTTTGGCGACTAAAAACAGGTTTAGTCGCTGATTATAGCAGTTTTGCCGACTAAAAACAATTTAGTCGCTGAAAGTGGGGGTTTTGCCGACGAAAATCCATTTTAGTCGCCCAAAGTAGTGGTTTTGGCGACGAAATTTCTGTTTAGTCGCCAAAAGTGCTGATTTCTAATTGAGAACTTTTTTTTTAGCAACAAATAAATAATTAGTAGCCCAAAATAATACAATTAGCGACTAAAAAATGGTTTTAGTGGCCAAAAATCGCCTAATTTTTTTTTTAGTAAATAATTTATTTTTTGACAAATTATATTGAATTAAAAAAATTATATTTATAAATATTATTTTGTATTAATTGCGGTTAATATAGTATATAAATAATATATATTGCATATATGATCATGTGATGATGTACTGGCATAGTGGAGGGAGTGTTGTGCAAAGGGTTTGGCGTGTGCAAAGGGACGTCGCAAGTTCGAAACTTGTTGGGAGCAGCGGAGGCAAAAAAAAAAAATTCTGAAAATACTTTCAGCGACTAAAGTGAATGGTCGCCAAAGGTATAAATAATAAAATAAAAATGAACTATTGGCGACTAACAGTGTTTTAGTCGCCAAAGGCATTCGCGACAACACGGGTGACTAAACTTTTTAGTCGGGAAAAGTGAAATTTTGACATTTGGCGACTAAATTAGGACCTTTGGCGACTAAAAATTTAGTCGCCAAAGGTGTTTTTTCTTGTAGTGAAGTCAACCCAAGACCCAAACCCACCAACCCAACAAAAACCCATTTTATTTTGTAAGATTTGTTTACTTACTTAAACAGCAAGGCACATGACACAGTTGGCCTCTGTCTGTGCCTCACTCTACCCAGACTTCAAATCCTAGTCGAAATTTAAAAATCCTACATTATCTATCAAATCCTAGTCTCCCACTTTCTCTCTCTCTCTCTCTCTCTCTCTGATTATATGTTTCCTTAAAACCCTAAGACCTAGTCCTACAAATACATACAATACTTTAACATAACATTGACAACAATATTCTGTGAAGAACAAAAACAACAAACAGTCTTTGTGAAGATGGTATTGATGAAGAGGAAGCACGAGGAGCTCGAGATCAAGAAAAGTGTCTATGGCGATGGAAACAAGTGGTTCAGAGGGTCCATCATCGGAAAATCAAGCAGCGGACCGGTTTATTTGGCGACTTTGAAGAAACCCAAGTGGAGACTCACCCACTTGCCTGTACTAATGGCTGTCAAGTCCGCTGAGGTTTCTGATTCGGCTTTGCTTCAGAGGGAAGCACTTGTTCTTAGGAACTTCCATGCTTGTCCCTACATCTATCGTTGCTTTGGGGAAGAGGTTTTCACCAGTGATCGCAATCGGATGGTATATAACCTTCTGTTGGAGTATGGTTCTAGTGGAACCCTAGCTGATGTGGTCAAGAAAACTGGTGGCAACGGATTGCCTGAATCTGATGTTAGGCGCTACACAAGGTATATTCTTGAAGGTCTTGATTGTGTTCATAGTGCTGGTTATGTTCACCGTGCTCTAAAGCCTGAGAATATCATCATTGTTCCGATCATTACTAGTACTGGCACTGAATATATCGCAAAGATTGGTGATTTTGGGTTGGCAAAGAAATCAGAGCAAGCGAGGAAGATATTCAGAATGCCAATATCTTATAAACAAGAATCGAGAGCCCTAAGATCTATATAGAGCCCTAAACAAAAGTATTCACTAAGCAAAACATTGATCCAAAACAGAGATAAATCACAAACAGGAAATTAGTAGTTCCGATCATTACTAGTTCTGGCACTGAATATATCGCAAAGATTGGTGATTTTGGGTTGGCAAAGAAATCAGAGCAAGCGAGGAAGATATTCAGAATGCCAATATCTTATAAACTGAGAGGAAGTCTCCAGTATTCGTCACCGGAGACAGTGGTTGATAAAGGGCTACAACAAGAGCCTCCCTCTGATGTTTGGGCTCTTGGGTTGATTGTGTTTGAGATGTTAACTGGGAAGTCTGTGTGGGATGGGAAACAAGATTCAGAAGTTGAGGACATTCTCTCTGAGATTGGTGAAGGGCATGGAGTGCTCAAACTACCTGCTCAGATGCTCTTGGATCTCTCTTTTGTGGCCGGATTGGGCAAGGATAGCGGAGAGGATGAAGAAGAATTATCTGTGGAGGATTCTGAGGAGAAGGATTGCTCGCCATCGTTGTCATACTACGAGACTGATGATGAACTCAGTTCATATGCCTTCCCAGATTATTGGAACTTTAGGGTGATCAAAAAACCAAACGTGGATGGAGTGGCAGCTAGGGTTTGCTTGTCCTCATCATATGATGCAGTAGATGACGCTGGCCTCAGTTCTTTCTTTTCGGATCGTTGGAGCAACATGCCATTGGAGGCTGAGGAATTGGAGGAAATTGCAGAGCCTGGGAGCGTTTATTTGACATTGTCAGTACATTATTAGGATGATGATGAACTAGTTCTTCTTCGTCTGCGTGTACTGCCATAAAATGTGTTCACTAGTGTTGGCCCTGCTGAGTTAGAGAGAAATGTATAGTGAGAGAAGAAAATGGTTTTGTTTATTGAGTTTATTCATTTACATAAATATAACCCATTGACATATTAAGTAGGTATGGTTTAAAATTAAAATTAGAAGAACCAGACACTACAAAAATTCACATTCACCCCATCTGTAGTATTAATACATTAGCATCGTTGCTATTAGGACTCCATTATTCATTGAATACATAGTGCAGAAAAATCAAAGTTACTGATCACTAACATGAGGTAGATATCAAATTAGCAATTGTTTGGCCATGTGACAAACTCTTAAAAAGTTGTTTTTTAGTTAAATAAATCAAAAGACAAAAACCCATGTTCTGTAGTATTAATACATTAGCATCGTTGCTATTAGGACTCCATTATTCATTGAATACATAGTGCAGAAAAATCAAAGTTACTGATCACTAACATGAGGTAGATATCAAATTAGCAATTGTTTGGCCATGTGACAAACTCTTAAAAAGTTGTTTTTTAGTTAAACAAATCAAAAGACAAAAACCTGTTTGTTTTCTGCTAAAAAAAAGCTAGCCATTCACTCAGCTTTCCCACTAACAAAAAAAAAGGAAGCAATTACTACACATCAACTTTTTTAGATTCTAAAGAAGCAAAAAAAATGACCAAAAATCAATTGCCAAACACCACCTTTGGATTACTGTTGGGACCCATCCTCCTCCGCTAGGCCACTGTCCTCATTTCAACAGGGGGTGAAATCCTAATTCTTACTTTCACGAGGCTTCTTTCCTACTTTTTAACTTGTTCATTTTGGCATCACCAACTTATAAAAGAAAAAAAGATCTTCTTCATATAGGTAGTGGAGCAGGTTTTTTTGTATTTTTTGGACTCCAAAAAAGAGATTAACTGGTGGTGTTATTATCTAAATCTTCTGAAGTATAACATTAGTATATGGATGAACATACATATACATACAAAGACAAAAGAATACATCCGATCTTTCTACTTCCAAAATGAAGAAACTTACGTAGAATTTTTTGCTCAAGTAAAAAAAACATGTTAGCGTCTCCTGCTAAAAAAAAGCATATAATTTTAGCTCCCAACAAACAAAATTTGACATTTTGGTTGGTCCCTCAATGAAAATACAGCATTTTGTCTTCATTTGGTTAAACTGCACATTTTAATCTATATATCAAAAACATAGCCTCTCACTGCCAAAATGTAGCATGTTGTCTTCTTACGGTATTTCTAATATATCTCAGCATCAAAATGTAGTCTGAAATGTCGGAGTAAAAAATGCAGCCAACAACAATTTTTTTATTTTTTATTTTCAAAAAACATAAAGTGCACCATGGAAGCATAATGTTATCATTGCACCACTAATGGAGCCTTAAAATGTAGAAATAGTCAACATGCTTAGAAATTGTTTACAATGAAATGATGCCTATCTTCTTCATCTTTAGCATTAATTCAAAATTTCAATCATTATTTATTTATTTAGCTTTGCATGTATTGTTTTGTCTCTGGTACCAATTCAGAAATTAGTGTTGCTGCACGCTACCTTGTTTTCTGTCACCTTGCTAAACCACCTCTAACAATATAGTATTAGATTTCATGGAGTCCATGATGTTAGGTACTCCAATCATATTTATTACTAGATAGGAAAACTTACTCTACAGTCGAAGTACAAGCCAAAATCCAACAAGGATGGCATAAATTAGGTACTCCAATCATATTATTACTAATTTAGTACAGCTACTTGTGATGACAAATAGAAACAAGTGGTTTTGAAACTATCCTAACAAGATTATCATCTACTTATGCAGGATCAATGATATAGCCATCTTGAACTCACCTGGTAAGTTTAACACTAAAGACGTGTCACATCAATGGAATTTTCATCCCTGAATTCAAGCATCTACTGATCCTTCACTTCAAACCTAAAAAGTAATCTGTACACCAAATTCATATTTATAAAATATTTAGAATATAGAGAGAGTATTGCACACAATAAAAAGAGTATAAGTACTAATTAATTAAAAGAAAAAACTGAAAAATCAAGTACACAGAATCTCCTTTTGCAAAGGAGCCTCCTTACATATGAAATGTATAATTCCTAACTTGGAGGCCATTCCACCTCTGGTTTCTTATGGCACCTTGTGACAATGGCCATGCTAACTTGCCCATTGACAAGTGGTTGTTATTCCATAGACAAATTCTAGGGTCTATAGTTGAAACTGAAAGGAATATAATACCCCAAGACTGTGTTCGGATCATAAATTTTGGTGGGGATTTGGAAAGAAAAAGAGAAAAGGTGTGTGAAATGTAGGTAAAATGTAACTATATTTCATTCACATTTCACCCTCCTTTTCAGTTTCCCTTTCCAAATCCCTACACAAATCCATGATCCAAACACATTCTAAGAAAAATTACTTTGGTAAACAGGAAACTGAATTAGAAGCATACCTCTCAATCTCAAGTTTTAAAATTAAAAGCTGCCAGAAGAAGTGATGCTGTAAAGCTACATAATATTCATTAGATTTGACTGCCATTGCTCCTCCATTGGAATAGAGAGAGAGAGAGAGAGAGAGAGAGAGGAATAACGAAACTTTCTAGCCAGATCAGCAATGACCCGTATTACCAAAAAAATTTAGTTTACAACTGTCTTCAGAGAAAACCACAGGTTATTCATAATTCAGAGATGATTTGCAAGAAACGAAGAATGCATAAGAGGTCAGCCCCACATACACCACAACCAGTGAATCACAATGCGAATCATAATGGGGAAAAAACAGAAGTAGACTATAATGAGATATGGAGGGAAACTAAACAAAGTATAAAGGCATGCTCTTACCTACAATAGGCCAACATAGAAAGTGATTCACCATTAAGGTATGTTCTATGGGTAAAGGCAATTATTTCTATAGCAGGACATAAAAATTTACAACCATACTATTCTGAAATATAATGTCACTTTACTACCATCAGCTGCAACTTCACTGTAAACATAAAATGTGGGACCTCCTAATGATCTCTGCTACAAGATTTGAGAGAGAGGGAGAGACAGAGAGAGAGAGAGAGAGGGAGAGAGAATAGTTTTAGTTCATCCGTCCTGTTAACCAAGCCAGTGTTCCAGGGCTACCACTGCCCGTTTCATTTTCAGACCTCTTTAAGTGACGAGTTTATTGAAAGAAATAAGAAAATGAACAAAGAAGATGCAACTCACTTTAAGAACTATGCTGAGGCTGGTTTATGAAATTGATATGCCATATGAGTAAGTTGATATGAAAGTCTTCTACAACTCTTTCCTTAAACGACCTCTACTATAGTAGCATCACACATGAACAATAATAAATTCAGTTGGAAACTCTACCTGCAAGTTGAATCTTTTTCAAACAAAACTATGCATGAGGCTACAAATTACTGACTTATGAAATTATGTAACATTAAATCCATGATCAGTTTGGTTGCACTTAAAGCAAAGGCGAAAAAAAAAAAAAAAAAAAAAGAGGATATAGGAGACACTAGGGGTAGGAATGGTTGCTATGAGGATACATGTGTTCTAGTAACAATTAGAAAAGAAAGAGAGAAAGAAGGATCCATGGTGTCTTCACCATTTCTTCGCCACTGAATGTAGCATAAGGTCAGACAAGTGCAGATTTATCTTCAGTAATAGACTGCTTCCTTGGTGCATGGCTCCACACACAGGCCAAAAGGAAATCAATTCAACAACCAAAATATTTACAATTAACTAAATCCCATACGACAGACCATGTTGCAAATTTCATTTATGAAACCTCACTGATCCCATTTCTTGAGAACGTTTGATTCCGGTTAGCTCCTTCATGGGTCCGACAAGACTCTATAAACTGTCCCGACATTGATTCCGATTAGCTCCTTCATGGGTCCGACAAGACTCTTTAAACTGTCCCGACATTGATTCCGGTTAGTTTCTACAAGGGTCCAGCAAGACTCCATAAACTGTCTTTTACATCGGTCCAACACGAGCCAGTGTCCTCTACAACGTTATGACACACCATACAGTGTCCTCTACAACGTTATGACACCACCATACAGTGTCCTCTACAACGTTATGACACAACCATCCAGTGTCTTCACCAACGGTCTGACACGACCATACAGTGTCTCCTATCCTGTTTTATTTTATATATTAGTCTATTTTCTTGTTTTGTTACTCTCTCCAAACTCAAGTTGGTTAGTTCCTATCCCCCTTGAGTTTGCAGGGGGCTGTTAAAATGTACCAAAACCTACCACTACACCTACTCCACCCACTTCACCTAAACCTACCACTACACCTACTCCACCCACTTCACCTACTCCGCTTACTACTCCACCTACTACATACCTACCTCCTCTAATCTTCTATATATAGGACTCATTGTAAACACAATCAATACATCAATCAATAATACATCAATAGATATATTATTCTCTGTATTTCTCTCTTTATGCATTGAATTTTAGACTAGATATCACAACATCCACTTCAGATAACACTTAAATTGTATATTTCCTTATATTTCAAAAATGGGGCAACAAACCAATTTCTCATCTGCCTCGTCTGACCAAGAAGGAAGAAAGAACTCTTCTGAAGATGACAAATAACTGCACTCCTCATCAGTCTCGTATAACATAAACGTCAAACCAACCTCATCTGGAACTAAAATCCCTTCACCCTCTTCAATTTCTCCATCATCCTCAACTAACCCTTCTACAAATGAGTGATACAAGAGCATTTCAGCTGTCAATCTATACATAGACTTCCTCGCAAAACAACCCTTCAAAAACTCCCTCCCCTCTTTTGATACCTCACTCGGAACTTTAGGCAATTCATGGCCTTCGCCAATCTGACGAAGAAGAACCTCAGCATCAAGATCTTCCTTCCCAACCCATGGAGGCTTTCCCGTTAGCATCTCAAGCACAATACACCCAAAAGCCCAAAATCACCAATTTCGCCATTCTCACCCTTCGTAACCTCTTCTCTAATGGTGGCTCCAAAATAACTCAAACTGGACCTTTCAATTCAAATAGTACACTGGATTGAAGCAACATCCTTATTTTTAATGCAACATCTCTATTAAAATTTTAAGGACACATCCAGATTTTGATATACCAAAAAAAAACTTACATAAAATTTTTGTATAGAATGATATGGACATTTCCCTTTAAAACAACCATCCCCCCACCAAAAAAAAAAAAACTTTACGTAAAATTTTTATATAGAATGATACGTACATTTCCCTTTAAAACAAATATCATGAAAGATTACTTTTATTTATTAAAAGGACAAATTAAATCCATTGTCCTTGTAAAATTACTTTTATTTATAAAAAGGACAAATTAAATTCATAGTCCTTATAGTTTGTTTATTGTGTTAATTTGGTTCTTAAAGCTCTATTGCATCAACTCCTTTAATTTTTTTATAATTTGTCAATTTAATTCAATTGATAATATCTGTTAAAAAATTGGACAAAAATTAAAGACAAAATGGTTCATTTAGAAGGAAATGAACCATTTTTAATTACTTTGAGAATAGGAAATTGACTATTTGACTTTAATTTTAATAAGTTTATTATCCAATAGATTTTTTCTCCGAAGTTAATAGGTTGAATTAATGCAATTAAAATTGTAATAAAAGGCAAATGGAGTAGACTATTAACTTAAATAGTATTGATTTGACACATTGTGACAAATTAAAAATAAAATTAATGCAACTAGAACAACAGGATAAAATTGACACAAAAGACAAATTAGATGATATAATTTACCCATATAAAAATGATAATGAAATATTATTCTCTATTTTATTTTTGCATAAAGTTTTTGCGAGAATAGAATTTTCTAAATTAAATCCGGGCTGGTTGGAACCAGTATCCAAACTCAAAAACCCAAACCCAAACCCACCGACCCAACAAATACCTTCTCAAACAACAAGCCACATGACAGTTGGCTTGACTGTCATGTCACTCACCCTCCCCTGTTTACAGACTTAAAACCTATTCCAATTTGGAAACAAAATTCCACATTATCTACCAAATCCCAAAACCCTAAGACCAAATCCTATAAATACCTACATAGTAATAAGAAAAATTCACATCAATTCAATATTCTCTAAACAACACAAACAAGAAGCAGTCTTTGTGAAGATGGTATTGATCAAGAGGAAGCATGAGGAGCTTGAGATCAAGAAAAGTGTCTATGGCGATGGAAAACTGTGGTTCAGAGGACCCATCATCAGAAAATCAAGCAATAGACCGGTTTATTTGGCGACTCTGAAGAAACCCAAGTGGAGACTCACCCACTTACCTATACTAATGGTTGTGAAGTCTGCAGAGGTTTTTGATTCTGCTATGCTTCAGAGAGAAGCAATGGTTCTTAGCAACTTCCATGCTTGTCCCTACATCTATCGTTGCTTCGGGGAAAAATTATGACTGGTGATTGCAATCGCATCATTTATAACATTCTCTTGGAATATGGCTCAGGCAGAACCCTAGCTGATTTGATCAAGAAAAGTGGTGGCAGAGGATTGTCTGAATCTGATGTTAGGTGTTATACAAGGCATATTCTTGAAGGTCTTGATTGTGTTCATAGCTCTGGTTATGTTCACCGTGCTCTAAAGCCTGAGAATATCATAATTGTTTCAATTAGTACTGGTACCGGGACTAAGTATGTGGCTAAGGTTGGTGATTTTGGGTTGGCAAAGACAGAAAAGCAGATGAGGAAAATGATGACAATGTCAAAATCTTATAAATTGAGAGGAAATATTCGGTGTTCGTCGCCAGAGATGGTGGTTGATAGAGGGCTACAACAATAGACTCCTTCTGATGTCTAGGATGTTGGCTGCATTGTATTTGAGATGTTAACTGGGAAGTCTGTATGGGATGGGAAACAAGATTCAAAAGTTAAGGACATTCTCTCTGACATTAGCAAAGGGCATAGACTGCTCAAACTACCCAATGAAAGTGAGGTATCAGAGGAAGCAATGGAATTTTTGAAGTGTTGTTATGGAATTTTTAAAGTGTTGTTTTGCTGCAAAAGCTATGGATAGATTGACTGCTTAGATGCTCTTGAATCACCATTTTGTGGTCGGATTGGGTGAGGACAGCGAAAACAATGAAGAAGAATTATCAGTGGAGAATTCTGAGGAGAAGGGTTGGTCAACATCTACATTATCATTGTCAGATTAAAAGGCTGATGATGAACTCAGTTCATCCTACTTTCCAGATGAAAGGGAATTGAAGGTCAAAAAACTAAAGCTTGATGCAGAGACAATTATGGTTTGCTCATCATTGTCATACGAAGACAGTGCAGTGGAAGATGAAATCAGTTCTTCTTGCCGTTCAGATGATTGGAGCAACATGCCATTGGAGGCAGAGGAATTGCAGGACATTGTAGAACCTAGGAGGGTTGATTGGTCATTGTCACTGTCAGTTCAGTATTAGGAAGATGAACTGGTTCTTCTTCATCTGTTTGTGTAGATAAAATGTTTCTCATAATTGTTGGCTTGGCCTTGTTAGAGTAAAGAGAAATGTAGAGTGAGAAAAAAAAATTAAATTTGTTAATTGAATTTATCTAGTTACATAAATATAACCCATTGACATTGACTAGCTTGTAAATTACCTATTATGAGGTTTTATAATTCAAATTAAAATTAGAGAGAAAATGACAGTATAATTTTCTTCCAAATTCTCACCACCTGGCTGTATGAACACACACACATAGCATCATTGCAATTCACTTCTAAATTTGGGATTCTAGTATTCATAGGTTCTGCACAAAAGTGAAATTTGGCTGATCGATATTCGACTCATTGATGTTAAGCATAATATGAAGTGAGTGTCAAATCAGCGAGTGTTCGAATTGTTGTGGCAACCCCTCCCTTCTTTGTCAACAATCTAGTATGCATGGATATTGTGGATTTAAAATATATATATATATATATATCATCAGCAAAATAAAACTTTGTTGATGTAGCCAATAGTGTAATACAAAACACTAATATAAACATCAATAAAAAGAAAAAGGATAGTGCAAAAGTGCATCATAGCAAGGCCATTCCATCCCAAATAGGTTGGCATGAAAATGTAAGCAAATCATATTCAAATGCCACCCAACAGACAAACAATGTTGGAAAGATTCCGACCAAAACCAGAGAAAAACATAACAGAATAGGGAAGGGGAAAAAAAAAAAAAAACCCCCCAAAACTGAACAAAGCAACGACAGCAATTTCAAATCAATACCAACAATAGGCTGCAAAACAAGCCATTCCACAATAACCCCTTCAGCAACCAAACTGCAAGCTCGTAAATACAAGTAACTGCAGCAGCCCCACCAAAGCATTGGCAGCACCTACGGAAACAGCAGCAGAAGAAAGATGGGAGAAACCTCTGTTAGAACTATCACTATGCCATCTAAACCAAATCAGCCCCTCTAATTTTTAGGCTGAAAATCCCCTCCAAAAAGTTAATGAAGTCATACACAAAAGATCTTAAGGGAGGCAAATTTTCAGAAGATGTTAAAGGAAGGAATGGTTATTGGGATCCTCAATCAAATTTGGGTCTGACATTTGGATGGGAGATAAAACTCTATTTGGTTCACTAGAATGAAATGGAATAGAATGGTCATTCCTTATGTTCCCTTATGGAATGATCATTCAATGATCATTCCCTTACAATGTTGAATGATGATTCCATTTGCAATGTACTTTTCATTATATTTTTAATCTACCAAACATGGGAATGAACATTTTGTTGGAATGATGATTCCATTCCGCTTAATCCAGTGAAACAAACACCACCTAAAAATTAGGTTTCCAGCACTTCTTAATTTCTATGAACACTGTCATTGTCTGTGGAGCATCTTCATTATCTATCTCATCTTCAAAAATCTTGAAAAAGCTATGCCTGTTTTGAATGGAACTGTTCGGCTGGCAAGATATCCTACTCGTGATTGTGGCATCTTGTTGAAAAGGGGATATGTTTTTTTTCCATTATATGTTTTCACAATCTGCATATCATGTACTCTTACATTGCAAGTTTGCTTGGAAACTATGGTCAAAGTGTCCAAATTGGTAAAGTATCCAACAATTTTACATCAAATAGGCGAGTCCTCCTTTGGAAATTTCAATGCTTTGTTGCTATGCTCTCATTGTGGAAAGCTCGTAACAAACTAATTTTTAATAATAAGGTAGAACAAAATTGTTCTAATTTAGTTGACTTGGGTAAAAGCACTATGAGAATTTAAGGATTCTTCTGTGAACAGTTTTCTTAACAACCTGAATTGGTGCTGCTTGGTTTTTAATGGTGATTGAAGTGCTGTTGTGATTAGGAAGTAATTTACTAGGCACTGCTAAACGTTGTGCAGATTTTTTTTCCCTCTCTTGAAGACCTGCTTGGAGGCTTATTTTGAGGACGATATCATTATGGATTTGATCATCAGTTGAAAATTTATTGCCTAAATTGTTTACATGTTCGGTATGAATGCAATCCATTGAAGGTTTTCATGTTTTTAAGAGCAGCTGAATTCAAATAATAAGCTGCTCCAGGAAATTTGACTCTCTTTTTTTTTACTGTTGGTGTTTTCAATTCTGTCACAATTGTGTTTTTTTTTTTTTTTTATATTCCTGTTGCCTTTATTTTATTATGTTTTTGGTGGTTCTTCTATCAGCTGGCTAACTGTTATTATTATTATTTTATTATCTTTTTTTTTTTTGGTTGTTGTTGAGGGTTAGCTCTGTTTTGATTGAAGTTTTGTTTTAGAATGTCGATCAAGAATGGTTTCTGTTCACTTGGGCCTCTATTCTTGTATTGATGATGTACTTTTTTGGAATGTCGATCAAGAATGGTTTCTGTTCACTTGGGGGCTTGATTCTTTTATTGATGATATACTTTTTTGTACTCATTTACCCTTGTATCATTAAATTCCTTTTTTTTTTCCTATCAAAATTAAATAAAAAAACTAATGAAACCATACATCAACGAAAATGCAAGTATATATGTTTAAAAACTAAACGTTTTTTTCCTTTTTTAATCTTTAATTGTAAAGTTAAGAATAATACATTTAATATGGGTCACTCTTTGGCCTACAGTTTCAATGTTGGTGTTAGTCTTCGATAAGTATGATCTTCCCACTATTTACCCTAGTATCTAAAAAACTGATCTTATTACCATAAGGCATCCCCTTAATTTCTGCTTCTTTTTTTTTTTTAATAATTTTTTCACATTCACATGGCTCAACTATCTCCCAACTAGATTTTCTTAGAAGATTGCTAATAAAATCTCCTGTTAGAAAATTGGGTTTTGACCCATAGTTTTGGCTTAGTTTAAGTCAAAATAAAAATGAGACCTACATACTTTTTTTTGTGGGTCCAAGTGATGATGTATAATATGCCATGTGGTGAATAAGAAATTGACACCAAAAAGAGCTCCATGAATATAGAAAGTCTTGGTGCAATAAATGAATAACCCACATTGCTAGAAAAGAAGAAGTTTAAACGCTTTATACATACCAAGAGAAGGACTTATGGATGGACTTAGATTCAAGACTATGGAAAAGTGGGTTTATGCCAAAAATCTCGTGCGCACGGTCGGCCATGCTATGCCATGCTTGGGTTCGAGTGCATGGTGCGTGGAGTTGGTCCAACCTAGGTCTTATTTTCTTTTTGGGCCAAAATTAATTGAATTTTCAGTCAAAAAATCTTGCGGGAAATTTTTTATTTTGACATTTGAATTCAAAATATTTCTAAAATAACCCCAACGTTTTTCTAAAACGTTGCAATATGGTCCTTCCCGACCTAATGCCTCTTTTCACCTTCTTCCTTACTGTTACACTTTTTCTAAAGGGATGCAACCTCACCGAACAGTCATCATACACTCTATAAATAGTCATTCCTTCTGCCATTCTAGGCGCTTAAATTTTCGTTCTTGCTTTTGTTCTTCTTTTCTTCTCTTCTGTTTCTATATTTTGTCAAAGAGAGATATATTAATTTGTTTATACCAGAAATTTTATATCTTCTTATTTATTAATTTACACTTAAGATTGCAACAATCTTAAGATAGAATTAAGTGTTCAATCTTTTTGTGTTTGTATTCATCCTACTTCTGGTTTGTGTAATAAGAAAAAATGAATACTTACGAGAATGCTTCGAGTAATGACAAAGTTCTCCCGACTTCTCCTCCTGCCGTGCTTCCGACCATCCTTACAACTATCCCAATTAATCATGGAGAGAAACCCGAGAAGTTCAATGGTAGTGACTTCAAATGTTGGTAACAGAAAATTCCTTTTTTATCTCACTACTTTGAACTTGGCTCGATTCCTCCATGAAAAACCTGTAAAAGTAAAGGAAGATGAAATAGACCGTCAAGTTCTTATTGCTACAGAAACTTAGAATCGAAGGGATTTTCTGTGCAGAAATTACATCCTCAATGGTTTGAATAATGCACTAGATAATGTTTATTGTAGTCCAAAGAGGACCGCAAAAGAACTTTGGGAAACCTTGGATAAAAAATACAAATCAGAAGATGCCGGAATGAAGAAATACATTGTCGATCGACAGATTTCTAGACTTCAAGATGGTGGATTCCAAGACCGTGATTAATCAGGTCCAGAAACTCCAAGTTATTCTCCATGATATTCTTGCTGAAGGGATGATCCTCGGGGAATCTTTCCAAGTGGCTAAAATCATTGAAAAATTGCCACCCGCTTGGAAGGATTTTAAGAAGATGAATCTTGATGATTTGATTGTGCGGCTGAGAAATGAGGAAGTCAACCGATGCTCTGGAAAGAAAAGCAACAATCACTAGACGGAATCCGAGGCTAATATAGTGGAACAAGGACAAAGTTCAAACAATAAGAAATTTTCTAATGACAATCCTAAGAATGGTGTCAAAATCCAAAAGTTCAAAGGAATATGCTACAACTGTGGCAAAACTAGTCATTGTTCTATTGATTGTCGTGGTCCACCAAAGAACAAAAGGAAGTCATATAAAAGAAATAAGCAAGGCAAGAAGGCTGGAAATCAAGCCAACATAACTGAAGTAGACATTATCGCCTATGGTGTTGATGACATCAATCTCTCCGCAATAGTATCTAAAGGAAATCTGGTTGGGAATCCCAAAGAATGATGGATAGACACTGGAGCCATACACCACATTTGCTTAGACAAGAAAATGTTCACATCTTATCAAACAGTTGATAATGGAGAGCAGCTTTTTATGGGAAACTCCTTGACTTCCAAAGTTGAAGGACAAGAAAAGGTGATTCTAAAAATGACTTCAGAGAAAGAGCTTACCCTCAACGATGTACTACATGTGCTAGAAATTTGGAAGAATCTTGTGTCAGGATCTTTGCTGAGTAAAAATGAGTTTGGGTTGGTTTTTAAGCCTGGTAAGTTTGTACTCACTAAAAGTGGGGTTTATGTGCAGAAAGGATATCTGAACGATG